AGGTGAAAGTAATACAGAAAAATACTATTTAGAGATTGTCCTTCGTTCATATTCTTGACTTTGAAAATGAGAATAGTGATGATAATAAGAGTAAATGTTTGCGATTAAGGATCGGCCGTTGATAAATCTTGAAAGCAAAGGTTCTCGTAATATAAGATAATCCAAAGGCATGCATTTGAATATGCCCTAACCGCTATATTGCATACAAGCAATTTGGCGATGCTGCTGCCGATGCTGACTTTGCAATGGTGTACAAATACAATTAACAACAAGAAAATCACCTCAACACACAATGTGCTATGAGGAAGGGCCATTGAATGAAACGTCGCCAGGAGAAAATACATTTAGTTTCGGGATTATACTGTTTTCATCTTCTTGACTTCGAAAAGGGCATGATGGATTTTAATGAATAATAATGACAATCGCTTCCGTTTAAGGTCACTGATACATCTTTAAAACAAACGACAGAGGTGCAATGACGGTCCTTTGCCAGACAGACTGCCGATTGCGTGTGGCTATTCATATAATTTCCTTAAATAAATGTGCTGAGTTTGTTTTCCACATGTGTCAACGAATGAGGGTGAAATATCCACGTCAGTTCAGGAAAATAAACATTGCCGCTACATAATTTCAACTCACAACAGTCAAGTAGGTTGGGGTTTGGTGATACTAAAGAATAACGGCATTTACCTTTGATTATAATCCAGTTTTTATGGACTCATATTTAAATGTAATCTCTGTCCTTACATCCCATCAACTCAGTCGGTGGTGAAAATGAATACATTAACTAGAACTGGTTTACTTTGGGAATATCTCCTATAAATGTCACACTTTCCAGCCAAATTCAACACAAGCAGCATGACATTGTTGAACCACGGGTGGAACTTTAAACGTGATATATCGTACGTATACTGTAATGTTGGTTTAATTACATCCAGCGTGTGTTTAAACACAACTTTCACAAAATCGAATCCAGCTACAAAATTTGAATGGTGCTTTGGAAGAAAAACGTTAACAACAAATTATTAATGCTTTTATTGATATTTTCTTGGAAGAGGAGGGGAAAAAAATTCCACATGAGCTGGCAGTCTGCTTCAATGAGACACACTCTCTTAGTATTCTGACAGTGTAAGTGCCACACGACTTGGGAAATTTATAATGCGGATAAGTACATTCGTATCGGCGATACTCTCTTTTTTTGTAACATTTATCCATTCTTAGATTAGTCACGGAGGTGTAAAATTAAAGAAATTAAATCACGACGTTTCGGGCGCAACACAAGCGTCCGTCATCAGGTGGGACAACCACAGCAAGAAATAATTGCTGAAGTGGGCTCACTTCGTGATTTAACTTATTTTATTTTTCTACCTACGTGACTTTACCGAAAGAACCAAAGAGTATGGATCCCTGCAGTCACGAAAACTTCAAATCAAGATCATTCTTGGGTTTCCACAGTTGCAGTGTCCCCATGTTAGTTCATGGGATCGAGTAAGGCGGTTTCCCCTCAACCCCGGTCGTGCCAGAACTCAAAAGCATCATCGGCCATATCAATCCACTTCCGGATGAGTTCATCCCCATGCCGTTGAGATTTTGCAAATGAAAAACATTCTACCGAGCAATTGACTGCCAACTGATGTAATTGCTCCATCTCTTCAGCGGCGTTTCCTCTAAAGAACCAATTTATGTCTTGGCTACCACTCACTGATAACTCTTCACCATGGGCCAACATCCCTTCAAGTGACGCTTCTTCTCCAAGCCCAACTTCCTTCTTCTTAGCGGCTGGAATGCTGTCATGATCATCACCTGATGATGATTGCTTGTGTTGCAATTGAAACGTCGTGAGAATTTTGTTTCATTTTTATTATTTTATTGTTTTTCCCTTCTACGTGAGTTTACCGAAAGAACAAAGAATATGGGATTATTGTTTGTACCTCTATCGGGGGGAGGCGGGGGGGCATTGAATATAAGTGCATTGTTTTTATTTTCATCAACATGCTTTGCTTCCCCACACACACACACGTGGACATTCCAGTGCAAGCCGTGTGCGCTGTGCCTCTGACGCCAACCACACTCAGCCGAAACTGATCATTGACTTGACAATAAGAATTTCATCAGCAGGGTGGAGGGCAGGATGAGGGAAGGAGGGATGGAGGGGAGGGAGGGGTCAAGCCCCCTCTCACCCCCCCTCTCCCCTTTCCGATGCTATGTGTGTGCTGGAAACACGGGCCTGAGTCTGCTGTGCCTGATTCACGAACCCAGGAACCGGCACAATAGATGACACTGCACACACATCCAAACCAATTAGCACGGTCGTGCTTTTGTACGTTGGACTTTTTTTGCACCGTACGGAGCCAACCGTGCTGATCGGAGTACGCGGGGCTGGCTGCATACGCTGCGAAATAAGTTCAACATACTGCAGAAACCCTCTTAACGGCGGTAAATGGTTCCATGAAACCGGTGAAAAGATTTGGTCGTTAAGCGCGTAGACGTTTCTACTTCAAAGCGCAGCATGCCACCGAATGTAAACAATGACCCCCAAACGCTCATGAATGGACGTCGCTGATTGGCCGAGGCCCGTCAAGCGATTAGGGGCCGTCCATAAATGACGTCACGCGATTTTTGACTCTGCCCCCCCCCCCCAAAAAATAAAACATGCTTCAAATCGCTTTAAACTATTGCGTATTTAATGTGGCGCTGCACTCTGATGTTGTAGGAGAAAACATACAAAAAGTATATTTATTTAAAGTTGCGCATTTTGATGTGACGTCACATTTCTCAAACCCCCCGGGAGGTGCGTGACGTCCTTTATGGACGGCCCCTTAGTCGTTCACAGGGGGTGGTGATTAAAAGGGTGTTCTACACCTACACACACGAGGCAAGAGGAGGCAGCAGCAGCAGCATCCAACGCCGTTTCTGCATCGTCGCATCCCAAAAGTTTCGTCCCGTCAATCCATCACCTGGCCCAATTATTTCTAACCACAGGAACAACATTTTATTAATGAAAAGGTGCGGAACAACACTGAAATAGCGACACAAGTGTCGGTTTGTCCTTAACGCGGCCCCCCATTTTGCGGCGATGGGGGGGCAATGACGGTCTTGGCCCCCCCCCCCCTGCCAGCGGCTCAGCTGGAGGTGACTGACTACAGCGGTTTCCACTTCGCGAGCCCCACTCTCAACAAGTTTGCCGGCAATTTTTTTTTTTATTTCCCGCAGGATGATAGTTGAACGAATTCTTCTCGAGCCCCCCCCCACCCCCCATTAATGTGCGTTCGCGGGCGGACGTGGAAAATGGCGAGCGATAAGAGGCCGTCCATAAATGACGTCACGCACCTAGGTGGTCAGACATTTGTGACGATGTGTGACAAGGGGGGGGGGGTGAGAAATGTGACGTCACATAAAAATGCGCAACTTGAAATATAAACACGTTGCACTTAATTAAAAATACTTTTTAATAAATATTTTCTCCGACACCAAAATTTTGACGATTTTTGACCACCCCCCTTCATCACAAAAAGTCATACCCCCTAAAATATGACGTCACAAAGCTCTGCTCCCCCCCCCCCCCCAAAAAAAATGCTTCAAATCGCTTTAGTCTATTGCCATTGTAGAGCGTATTTAATGTGGCGCTGCACTCTGATGTAGGAAAACACATTTATTAAAAAGTCTATTTAATTAAGAGGAACGTGTTGTCTATATTTATTTAAAGTTTCGCATTTTGATGTGACGTCACATTTCTCAAACCCCCCCCCCCCCTCGTCACAAATGTCTGACCCCCCCCCCCCTAGGTGCGTGACGTCATTTATGGACGCCCCCTAATACCAACAAGGCTTGTGCGGTTTGGATTCACCGAGCTTCAACGGCAGATTAGCGATTCCTTTCCCGTCATTTGCCAATCTTCAGTTTCACGAACATATAGGAATTAATGCATTATGTAAGCTCGCACACGTAACACAACAAAGTGCTTGCCACAAATGAATGGTTTCGTCAGCAAGGTACTGAACTCCGGTCATCCTCGCAGCAGCAACAGCAGCAGCGGCTTCAGGCTCGCCATCCAACAAAGACGGTCACCGCATCGCGCGCTTTCAGGTGCGCTTCTGCGGCCGTCTGGAACGCTCTCCCTTCCGATATTAGGAAGCCACTGGAGCTATGCACTTTAAAATCATCGTCTAGATTGACAAACTCGTTTCTTTCTAACTGCTTTAGTTTGTTGTCCTTTCCCAGCATCTCCGATGAGCACGGTCGTCTGCGTACGGCGCGAAAGAAGTTCATTTTCCACAACATTCACGACGCCGTTTCATTGTTGTTGTATTCCACGTCCAGATTGATAGCTCGTAAACGAGATAACGACAGCACGGCCTCGTGGTGAAACGGGTAGCGGCACAGGGCTTACTACAATTCACGAGTCCGCGATTCGATTTGACTTCCCGGCGCGGCAGCTGAAACAACGGTGCCAGTTTCTTAAATCCCCTTTTCCCCCGCCACTGTCGTCCACATCGGCAGGACGAGCACACGACCACAGGGAGTTGATGATCTGCAGGTCAGTGCGGTGGGGTAAAGCGTGGGTTACTACCATGGGTGGAGTTTGGGGGGGAGGGGTCATGGGTGGGGGGCAATGTCCTCCCCTCAAATTAAATAGTATTTAAAATAAAAAATATTTTAATAAACTGTATGCATCCGCGATTGCTAATGTGAGGGACAAAGTGAACCCCCACCCCCAATATATGTCAAACTCCGCCGATGGACTTAATCCTACCTTTTGCAAGACGGAAGAGTAGGCCAATACACCCTCGAGAAAGAATCTATCTTGGGATCCCCCAATTGGATGCCCTTCTGGACAACAGTTCCTTATTATTTGGGTCGAACCTTTCATGTTTGACCCTTGTGAAGAGACCAGCCACAGACAAATAAATGAGGTCACAGCAAAACAGTGATCTCTTTTTCCAGACACAATTTTTTTTTACCGTTTTAATATTTTTCTTGGGCGAAAGACAAACGCTTCCCCCCCCCCCCAACCAAAACCAAATAACTGAAATCCAATAAGAGAAAATAATGAATACAGATTGACACAGTAACGTTAATTACCCATTATGTAAGTGGTTAGCAACCAAAATCAATACTACTCAAAAAACGTTAGGTGATTTGTGGTTTAAACTGATTACGACGTTTCACATTGTAAAAATAATGCGTGTTTCATGGAAGAGAGCACACAGATACAACGCGAGCCATTTGTTAAGCAAACACTATAATCTTTTGACACTGAATAAAGCATTACAATTTTTAGAATGATTAAAAGCTGTGGAAATTCATTCAATTGCATTGAAACCACATTAAAGCCTTAACAATGGCACACATTTCTCAAGATTGTGATGCAAATGTTCGTTCATTGTCATAATGCATCAACAGCCAGCTCACACGCTGGCTCTCAAACTACACAACCTTCTGACACTAAACGATTTACCACGCGCTAATTCAACAGTCAGACGATGACGAAAAGATATAAGAATCACATTAAAATCCTTCTGTTTAAAAAGACACAAGCATCCCCTACCTGGGCATGTGTTCAAGGTTTGCCAGAGAGCGTGGCTATTTGGGTCGCATCTTTCATGAAACATGGGCACGAGTCTCATATATCAAGAGTTCGAATCCAGCTACAACACCAACAGCACCATCATCATCGTCGTGGCTCACACGAGCAGGACACCGTGTTACACTGTAACAGAGCAATTGAAACACACCCACAGTGGCTAATTTAAAGACTTTCTTTTCAAGTCCAGAATTCCCTCTGCAGGAAACGCGTGCATCCCAACGGATCTTTCCATCCAATTTTTTTACATTTTCAGTTCCATGATAATTATTCAAATTTGTACACAGTGCTAATGGAATGCTAGGTAATAATGAGCACAGTTTTACATTTCATTTCTGGGGTTGCAGAGGGGCGTGCATATATTACATCTCTTTATGGGACTTGCGAAATAAACACTTGTTCCACCAAACGTAAAGGCATTTCTGACATCTGTATTCAGAAGGCAGCATGGGAATGATACGCCGTGAAATGAGTAAGGTGGTGCGATGGGACTCGGATCAAAAGGAATGAGCAACATTCTTACTCTCAAGATTACCCCACAGTTGCCCACGTGAAGAGTTAGCCGTAGATTGTTCACAATTTCCTTAGAGAGAAAAAAATCATTAGCAGACCATTACATTCCAGATTAATGGCAAGCAATTTGTAATTTATTAAAGGACGCAAAACGTTCTGTGTATGATATATAGTCCAGAAAAAAACACACAAATTACATTTATTTCCCCTTTGCGCGTGCAAGCGACACATAAAAAAAGGCACTTTTGGAGGACAAGTTTTTTTTATGAAGAGCAATTGCATTCATCAAGTTATCTCATTCATCACGAATGAAAACAACGAAACAAGGAGTAATGGCGACCACACTGCTGGAAAATCTAAAAGTGTCTCTGGTCGCGGCCAGGGGCCTCTTGCCCAGCCCTGATGACGCAATGCCACCTTCACAACATTGCCGAGGCTTCAGTAATCGTAAAATTAATTTTGCAATGTATTAGAGATTAGAGTTAAAGTTTTGGTCCTGTTAAGGCAATCAACATTGTGCTCAGAGAGCAAGCTGTCCAATATTTTAACTTGATGCATTTACAAATAAAACGTGACGTTAAACAGCCAACAAGCCGCAATGTTACCGACTATTTATTGCCTTACAGATCTTTACAGGCAACTGGCTTTCAATTAGACATCATTCAACAGCTCTAAAATAAACACAGGCATCAATCAACATGTTAGCGCTGTAATGTGTGCCCCGCAGAGCGAGTCTAATGCATGCCAATTTAAATGTAAAATTATATCCAAACTGCCGAGTGACCTTGAACGTAGCATACGAAGAACTCTTTTTTTCATGTTATTATATCAGCTTCCTTTTGGGCTCTCACGTGCAACACTTAACGTCAGGTTTTTTTGCGTGTTAACCACAGTGCATTGCTTTATACAAACACATTTAAAAAATGCAGTTTTCATATTGTACAGAATATCATCGTACATACATTATTGTTGTTTTATTTTCTCTGCATCGTTCCAATGCTTCTTAAATCCCACCGCCCCTGTCCATCCCAGGAACATAAAATAGCTCCACCACAGTTCAGAGGTCATGTCTGGTGCAGTAACATGTGGGGTACTCCCTCTCCCACCTTTCCCTACAGACCCTCTTAGAATGGCTCTCGCTAAGAGCGTTGTCTCATGAAGGCACTTCCAACAACAATGGGGTAAAGCAAGAAAATCCAAGCCTGCACCTTTTACGCCCTCCTTACCGCAATGACGACGGCTCGCAATAATGGCGAGACACACTGGAAGCCCTGTATTTTGACAAACGCTTAGGCGACGAAACGTAAAAGCAGAGAGACGGATCAGAGATTCGCACGTGCAAATCACGACGGCTCTCGCTAGCTTTCTAGTGCAAGTTAAGTGTTGGGACCGCCTGCTGGTCTCGTGATTGCTTGCTTCGCCTTTCGAAAGTTACACACAAGTCACTTCAAAAGTAAGCTGAAACTTTTCTATCATAGAAATAAACTTCGAGCTACAGTCCTTTATATAACCAGGCGACAGCTCATGGAGATGTGTGGTAACCTTTCTGCAACGGGGACCTGGTAAAAATGGAAGTTTGTAGCAATGCTGAGTGATATTAATTAAATTCGATATTCAGGTAGTTTAATACAGTTCGGTATTTGGACGACATCACCAGCCCACTAAGTCTACTTGTGCTGATTATAATCAACGGTATGTATTTTTCTCTCAGCATCAGACATTGCACTTTGGTCATTTCACACGCACAATTATTTGGAAGCCTCGGGGTAATCAAACGATAAAAAATTGTGCAAACTGGCTCAGCGGCACGAAGTATCGACCTTCATTCATTTCTCCGGCCGCTTACATTCACGTACATTTATTGAGAAGCAGTCTTCTCATTAGAAGCAGTCTTCTCATTGCCGTAATTTGGCCGCTTAAAGATGTACATAACATTGCTGCCACATGCATGCATACATTTATTTGCTCACGGACTTCCACCTAAGATCCGAGACGCTCCCCCATCATCGTCAGTGAGAGTGAAGGCTGGAATAGGACGGCTGCATATCTCTGGCCGAAGTTGAAGATTATCAAGAAGATTTCCTGGGCTCCCGAGGGGAAGAAGTTGTGGGGAAGGGGAGGCGGGGCGGGGGATACACACAGAAGTACCCCCACAAATTAAGCGACGCACGCGACAGCTTTGCGAGCAGCATCGTCCAAATCGTTGGCGGCCATGATCGGAAGCCCGCTGTCCGCCAGAATCTTCTTGGCTTCGTGAACGTTGGTTCCTGTGAGACACGCACACACACACACACACGAGCGCATAAGGGTCGCGTTCCCACGATTTTCGTTATTTTCTGAAAATTCTCATTAACCTGAAACGTGGGAACTGGATAGAAAATTTCGGATGACCCAACAAAGTTGTTGTCACCGTTGTTGTCTTGGGATTGAGGTGAAAATGTGATGTCACGGGAAATGTCACTTCCGTAAAGTCAATCGCACGCGCTTCCCACCAAAAGTGCCATCAAGTGGTGCAAATAGACGCTTAAATTAATACATTATTATTTACGTAGAAATTGTCTGAAAATGAGGCCTAGATATGAAATTTCGGACTATCACATTTTTCTTGTTTTCAAATTGTCATGTTACTCCGCGTTTTTGCTGCCAAAAGTGCCATGCCAAGTCGCTTTCTTAAATTATTAAACACAAAACTAAATATCAAGAATTTATACCCATTTTAGTTTAAAGAGATTCATTTAGTGAATGGAAGATATAAAAATGTTATACATTTAAATCCAGAAATACAAATACGAATAAAAACTGAATATGGGTCCTAAAAACCCCAAATTCCAACATTTGAAAAAATTTAATCCAAAACTTAATCCCAAGCGCACATGAAACCTCAGGCAGGGTGGAACGGAGTTGCGTGTGTTGTTGTTGCCACTGGGGAGACAAAAGAGGCCCCATTCGTGTGCCGTTCCGGCCTTGATAGGGTGCTCGCTAATGGCACTTGCCCCAACAAAGTGTTAAGGTTATGCAGGGGAATCTTTGTCTTTGCCTTTATTGCTCGTGGCAATGGCGGCAGAGTTCGCTTCATGGAATGCAGCTACCCGTGAAAGAATTTAGGAGCAGGTGAAAAACAAAACATGCAATGTCGTCCGTTGTTAGTTTTCTTTTGATTACCAGGCTCCTTGTATTGATAACACACGCATTGTTGCACCATTATCTTGTTTTGTACAATTTTGATTGTACGTTAGTTCGTTTTTTTTTTTATAATAAAAGAGCTTCCATTTATTCTAGATTTGAAGCTTTCGTGACTGCAAGGATTCTCTTAGTTTTTTTCGGTAAAGTCAAAATAATAATAATAAAATAAAATAATAATAAATGAAAAAAAACTAAATTAAATCACGACGTTTCGGAGGCAATACAAGTCTCCGTCTTCAGGTGGGACCGTCACAGCAAAATTTACTGTATCAAGTGAAGAGAAATCCAAGAGACAAGATCTTAAATACTATCGGCCGTAATCCTTGTGGAGGTGCTTCACTTGGACCTTCCCTTCTAGCCCCGCCCACCTTCCCTTCTAGCCCCGCCCACCTTCCCTTCTAGCCCCGCCCACCTTCCCTTCTAGCCCCGCCCACCTCCCCCTTCTAGCCCCGCCCACATCCCCCTTCTAGCCCCGCCCACATCCCCCTTCTAGCCCCGCCCACATCCCCCTTCTAGCCCCGCCCACATTCCCCTTCTAGCCCCGCCCACATTCCCCTTCTAGCCCCGCCCACATTCCCCTTCTAGCCCCGCCCACCTTCCCTTCTAGCCCCGCCCCCCACCCAGTCCCTGACTGCCACATTTAGATAAGCTCCTCCCCCCTCCCCTTAACCAGTATTTAAGGGCTTGTCTCTTGGATTTCTCTTCACTTGATACAGTAAATTTGGCTGACAGTCCCACCTGAAGACGGAGACTTGCATTGCCTCCGAAACATCGTGATTTAATGTAGTTATTTTTCATTTATTATTATTTTATTTTATTATTATTTTACCTACGTGACTTTACCGAAAAAACCTCAGAGTAAGCTTCCATTTAACTAACGCTCACCCGCCATATATCCCAACCAAGGCTCGGACAAGTCGAGCGATTTCTTGTATCTGCGTTTATTGGTCAGCTGGGGGTTTTTCTCTCTCTCTCTCTCCCACACACACACACAAAAACCTCCTCCCGACAATAAATTACTCGAGCACTACACAGGGACGACAAGAGGCGAGCGTCCGATACGGTAAACGCGCGGTTTACGGTCGAGCCATCAATCACGCAATTTACCTCTCCCGGACACGATCGGTGCGGTTTCCTCGTGAATAATCACGAGTGGCTTCCTTTCCGACCAAACATCTCCGTTAATAACGGCGATCGATAAGTTTTATTTAAAAGTTTTTTTTTACCTATCCTTCCCTCAAGAAACAACGCCGGCGGCGATCGTGTCGGGGAGTCTCCTTCTCGTTGGCTCATCAAAGGGTATCTTCACCCACGCCTTGGTAGAGTGCATGTCAAGGACTTCCCGCCCACAAGACAGATTTCTCAAAAGCCTCTCTTTCGTCTGGAATGATGGCAGGGGAAACTGAACGAAACGAACGTCTCGCCACCGATATCAACCCACAGTGGTGCACTTCATTTGTGCACCTGCAAACCCCATCCCACAATGTTTTTTTTATAAAAAAAGTGGAAGGATGTCTTTGGTTTTCTATGCATACGTAAATGTACACGCATTCATGGGGGGGGGGGGGGTACATGTGTGCTACATGTGTGCTACATGTGCGATACATGTTTGCTACATGTGTGTTACTTGTGTGATACATGTGCGCTGCGTGTTTTCTACATGCCGCATATGATGAAGCGTCACAGCGAAACCTTCTCCTTGCGAGTGAACAGAATCCTTGTCTGTATTCGTATTCGTATAATAGTCACCCTGTATTTGTGTAATGGCCCTGTAACTTAACTGTTCTATGATCAGTCAAAAATTAATCCGCCTGAGCAGACTAATGCAACAGGGAATTCATTATTTAACACTGATTTATGTTTGTGCAATATTTTCGATTTCCCATTTGACAGAGTTGTTCCCCCCCCCCCCCCCCCGCCCTGATTTCTTCATTGCCGTATTGCATTTGTTGCGAATGTCGTTTTGTTGACCGAAGTCACTCTTGCAAATGCGACTAACCTGGTCCCGTCAGTTGCCACCCACCCGAATAAGCAATGAAACTTGAATTGATACACACAACTTCCAGCCTTAGCAGTTGCCACTAATATTCCGCAGACGGCAAGGGAGGTGAGATTTCGCTGCTCTCGGCAAATGAGACTATTGTGGTCGAGAACTCTCGCCAGGTTTCAACAACTTAATCTTGAACTCGAAAACTACAATCCTCAAGACTTTGCTGCCTTCTCGCAGGGTTTACTCTTTTACTGGTAGGAACCACCTGGTTCCACCAGCCCACGGGATTATTGTGTCCGTCCGTCGTGCATCCAAAAATTGGAGGGGTGGGGCTGGGTGGAGAGGGGAAGGTGGGGAGGGGCTGGGTAGGGAGGGTGGGAGGGGTGGGGCTGAATGAGGAGGGGCTGGTCACCCCGTGGTGCCCTTATAAAACTCAACGTTTAACCAACTCACGCCGGCCATAGTTGCGGAATACACCACGCCGCCGTTGACCCTGGCCATTGACCGAGGAACCCAACGTTCCTACCAGCTCCCTCCGCAGGAATGTGTTTGCCACGTTCCCATGACCACTGAACACCCGGACACCTGCCTGGTTCGTGAACCGGTCCAGAGGACTCTTCACGGGTTCCCACGGCAACCCTGCGGGGTCCAAGCAGCGGGGTGTTGGCCGGCAATGGCATCTCCGGTGTAGTTAAGCTTCGGGGTCGCACACTCAACTTATTTATTGAACAAAAACAACACGCCCAAAAATATCGCAGACGAAGAGCAGAGATGTCGCATGAAAAATTGGTTTACGTTGAAGTTGAAAGAAATGTCACTTTCCCCTACCCCGGGCGAGGGGGCGAGGGGGCGAGGGGGCGAGGGGGCGAGGGGGCGAGGGGAATAGACGGGAAGAGCCAAGACCACGGGGTTGAAAACTTGAAGACAAGAAATTAACCGTGCCAGGTTGTGCCAATAAGAACGGCTCGGGTTTGGTTTCTAACGAGTGTGCAAGCGCAGCATGCGTGTGTGTGTGTGCGTGTGGCTGGCGACGATAAGGCTTCGGAGCCTGTCAAGCCTCCAACCCACAACATGTGCGTCTGTGTGGGTCCGAGGCCAAAAAAACCCACTTAAATGTAGAGTGGAAATCTCGGTAAGCAATTTGAAAACCTACTCAAAGCCACATGAGATGTGAAAACCCCAAAAAAAAATTAAAGTAAGGCACTTGAGAAAATACACGATGATTTTTTTTTGTAATGCACAGTATATCATTATTTTTTAAAGTGTCCCTTTAAAAAATAAAGTGACTTGCCATTTCAGTGGGATCTCACCAAATTTTCAATAGGCCCCTGTCTATCTTATAAAGAATTCTATAAAACTGTATTCATAAATCTCTGCAAGCGTTTACACAGAAATCTGTTGACAATGTACCATGTCTTGAACAGCAGCACCGTCTGAGAATGCCATAAAACTCACGTGCACCTATTCCAAACAATCACAAAAACTGCCGCATCCTCGGCAACTGGCATTAAACCATTTTAATTGTTTATTCTTTTAGTTAATATTTTATCTATTATTAATTTAACAATTTATTCCTGCTATTCAGATGACATTTAAAAACGGATTAAAATTTTCCAAAAGATTAACGAGTTTGGCAATTTTTTTGTATACTAAACATTACCTGTAATCTTCCAGAAAAAAAAGTCCTACATTAATTTCAAAAGATAATTCATGCATTCATGTGGATGAAAGTCAGTTTGAACATTTGTTAAAATAAATTAAATAACCACTATGTAATTTGTTAAAATATATAGAATAACTCTACGTGACGTGACTTTTTGGCCACTCTGTATAACTAAGAAAGGAGACGGTGAATGTCAGGCGGAAGTGGAAGGCCTTGATAATGAAACTAAAATAGGGGCGGGGGGGGATTCCACAGCACGAACGGCTGGGGTGGAGGAGAGGCTTCCATAGCTCGCGGGGCAGCAGAGGAGAGCGAGCCAGATGGCAAAAGCGAGACACACACACAAACACAAAAAAACAACCAATTACCGAACCGGATAACGACTCCCGAATCATAAAAATTCATCAAATCTCTTGGAAGCAGACCTATTT